CCTCCACCTTAGCCACCTCCTCCTCGCCGGGCGCTGAGAAGGAGACCGTTTTCCGGCGCTTCTTGGGGGGCGGCAGGAGGGGGATGGGAGAGGAGGGGCGGGGCGCTGGCTCAGCCTCACGTTCCTCCGGGGGGCCGGCCTTCTGCTCCATGGCGGGCTCTGTGGGGAGGGAGATCATGGGAGGGGAGTTAGAGACCCGCAGCCACGCGCCAAGATGGAACCCAGGGCCCCTCGCTGGCTCCTGGCCTGGCCCCTTCTGCCCCCCACTTCAGAGCCTCCCAGCAGGGGGCTGAAGCTCAGGGACATCCCTGCTCAGGTGGGATGGCCGGGACAACCCTGCCCGTTCCGAGGGGATGGATGTAATTAGACACATACCTAGCGTGGCCTCTTTCACCTTCTCCAGTTCCGTGCCCACCGAGGACTCCGTTTTGCTCCCCTTCCCTGCTGGCGCCGTGGGGCAGCTGTCCATGGTGGACTCGTCCATGCTGTCCTCTGCCGACCCCTCCACGCTCTCGGCTTCGTCGGAGGACGAGGACGAGGAGGATGACGAGCTGCTCTCAGAGTCGGAAGCGCTGTCGCTGTCATCATCCGACTCCTCGTACAGGGAGTACTTAGAAGAGTCCTCACTCTCTGCTGCTTCGAGGCAAAGCAAAGGGCAGCTCAGTCGCCAAGGAATGGCAATCGAATGCTGCGATGCAGCCAGCTCTGGGGTGGAGCAGCTCGCCCAGCGCCGAGGGACAGCTGGATAACAGCCCCACTTGTACATCGATTTTTTTTTGGAGGGAGAAGTGATGCCGAGTTCTGCGCCGGGCAGCACAGTGGGCCCGAGGGAGCCGGAGCACAGTGAGGCGACGTGGAGCCGGCCAGGACACAGGGGCTCGTGCTCGGACACTTGCTGGAGGGGATTCGGGATTGTGACAACCACTGAACATCAGCGGCCTGGTTTCTGCCTCACCTGAAAGGCAGCTCTTTCTGCAGGGTTCATGCTGGGCACGGCAGCCAGCCCCGCCCCCCTGCAGCACAGCGCCCCCTGCTGGGCCCCCGCCCCGCCCCCTGCAGCACAGCGCCCCCTGCTGGGCCCCCGCCCCGCCCCCTGCAGCACAGCGCCCCCTGCTGGGCCCCCGCCCCGCCCCCTGCAGCACAGCGCCCCCTGCTGGGCCCCCGCCCCGCCCCCTGCAGCACAGCGCCCCCTGCTGGGCCCCCGCCCCGCCCCCTGCAGCACAGCGCCCCCTGCTGGGCCCCCGCCCCGCCCCCTGCAGCACAGCGCCCCCTGCTGGGCCCCCGCCCCGCCCCCTGCAGCACAGCGCCCACTAGAGCCGCCCTAGAGCATTGGACCAGCCCTGACTGCCAGGGAAAAGCACTCCCCGCTGAGCCTGCCCCACTACCTGCAGCATAGCGCCCCCTAGTGCCAAAAATGGGAAACATCCAGTTCTTTTACCTTCTGAATCCTCTTTGTCGCTGTGTGCTGCATCCCCCTCCTGCCGCTGCTCTTCCTCCTCCTCGTCCTCTTCCTGTTCATCCTCTTCCTCCTCCTTGAAAGGATGAAATCAGGGCACATGAGAGAGCTGTTGGGGTTCTGGGAAGGCTGGAAGAATTTTTACCTGTTGGGCTCCCTGATCCCCCAGGCAACCAACTTTCAACCTACCTGGGAAATGGAGTCTTCAACTGGGGAGGGGAAACTGAGGCAGGCAGCTGGAAAGGGATGACATGCACAGGAGATGGGCCCTGACGGGATGTCTCCACCTGTGGCGATGGGCTAGAAGTGGGAGCTGCACTCACCTTCTCTGAGGACGACTCTTCGGAGGTCTCCTCCCCTTCACTGTCCAAGCAGAAGAGCTTCCGGCGCTTGCCTGGCCCCCTGATCCACTCTTCGTCCCGCTTGGCTCCTTTTGGTCCTTGAGCAGCCTCCTTGTCTGGGATCAGCAAGGGCAGGGAGTTGAAGATGAACCCAAGCGTACAGGCTACAAGCTCCGCCCCACCACAACTCTAGCCCATGAGACCAACTCTCCTCCCAGAGCTGGACACAGAACCCAGGAGCCCTGGCTTCCAATAACCACTAATCTACCCCACTCCCAGAGAGGGAATCAGAACCAGAGGTCCCAGCGCCCAGGCCCCCACTCTAGCCCACAGGGCCAGAACTCCCAACCCGGCTGACACCACTCACAAGCAACCACTCACCATCCTCCTCCGCGGGAGTGGAAGGGCGGGGCCGCGGCTCTTCACTGCTCTCGGAGATCTCAGACGGCTCTTTCCTTTTCACCTGCAAAGAGCACAGCGGTTGCCAGGGCCTGGAGGTGCCATCCCCTGAGGGGAAGAGCCCCATTTCCATTCCCACTCCCCGGAGCCAGCCAGTCCCCGGCATGAGACCAGATGAGAACCAGCTTCCCCAAAAGACGAGAGGCTCCTGAGCCACTGCCAGGCTGCATTTACCTTGAAGGACGGGAGCCTGAGTGCCCCCCGGAGGCCGGTGCCGAAGCTGAAGCCCTCAAGGCTGCAGTCGACCAAGGACAGCAGGGCTGGATCTTTGAGTTTGGTTTTCTCCTTCTCCTCCTCCTTGGCCTGTTGCTTGGCTGCGTTCTGGAAGGGCTGGAGGTGGGACAGCCTGTAAGTGACCCTGCCAAGAGCTACCGGGCCAAGGCCATATGCTGGGGGCTGAGTTCTGCCTTGGGGACAGCACGGGCTGGGGGAAGCACACCTAGAACCCAGGAGTCCTGGCTCCCAGCCCCCCAGCTCTAACTCAACAGATCCCACTCACCCCACAGCGCCAGGGATAGGACCCAGGCGTCCTGACTCTCAGGCTCCCCTCCTCTCGCCTATTAGCTCTGCGGTGAGACTCCATGAATCCCCCTCTCCCCAGTGTAGGACCCGGGCGAGGTGGGACATGAACCCACGACCTTGTCCTCCCCAGGCAAGCACCCTATCCCCTAGGCCACGCGGGAACCTGCCCCACCTTGGCAATAAACAGTGACGTGTGCCTAAAAGCAAACCCAATCCTGACTCAAGTCTGGTGCACATAAGCACGCAGACAAGGCCCGAGGGGAAGGAATGTTTTGCATAAGTGACAAGGGTTCCTGTGGCACCTTATAGACTAACAGATGGATTGGAGCATAAGCTCTCGTGGACAAAGACCCACTTTGTCAGATGCATGAGACCAAGTGGACATGCACCTGGTAGTCTATAAGGTGCTACAGGACTCCCCTTCGCTTTTGCAGATCCAGACTAACACGGCGACCCCTCCGCTACTTGCATAACAGCGCAGATTAAGCCTGGTACACAAGCCCAGGTCAAGAACACAGGACAAGCCGCCTTGTACTGGTACTTCTCTTTCTGATAAGCAAGAAGTGTAGCTGCAGCCATGGAACTGTCGACTACGCGCACAGTTTTAGGTAATATCCTGAGTAGGATGTACCCCAAATAGGGCACTGAGCTTTGTAGGTATCCTACCCGATATGTCATCAACTGGCAAATATTATTAGAACGACCAAGTCTCTCTCTGCTATAAATTGGACTTAGTAAGAGCAATCGACGGGAGGGAATGGGCAAGATTGACCACAGGTCCTGCTTGTTGTAACGAGAAGTAATTAGGCCCTTCACACCGGTGACCCAGCGCCTGGCGTTCCATGGTGTGGGGAGAAATGGAAGCACGCCCTCCTGCCTGGCACTGTAGGTAGCATACGGGTGAAGTGTAAGTGAACTAGGCTTTATTACTGTATTATAGTAGATCTCCTAGTAATTGCTTTTGCATTGCTTTGCGCTGTATTAACTGCTTTAGAATGGACAGTATTTAAGGCTGAAATTGTAGAGCCATTGTTTTTAAGGCTTGTGAAACATAAAAGACTGAATGAACTGCGTAAAGCTGGCAATAAATCAGAAAGTGGTTAAGTAGCCCTGGAGTGTCCTGGTTTCCCTTGGATCTAAAATAAAGCGAACCACACGACACCCACCCACCCACCAGACTCCACAGCCCCGACAAGGGTGGGCCAGAATCCAGGCACGTCCCGACTCCCACTCCCTCTCTGACGAGGCCCAAGGCAGACACCGTTCCAAACAATGGGAGGGGCATACTCCTCAGATTCCTCCTAGAGTGTTGGCAGGGGGAGGAGTGCCCACAGCTCTGATAGCGGGGGGCTCCCGGGCACTCACCTTGGCCTTCTGCTCCTTGCGCTCCCACCACTTGTCGAAGGTGCTGAAGGCCACGTTCTCCACCATCTTGCGGTTGAGATCACGCTGCATGATGCTCTTCATCTCCTGTGTTAGGGTGGCCAGGACGCTGTCCACGGTGGAGGCGTGTGGGTCGCAGGGCGCCTCCTCCTGGTAGCCCCACCCTGCTGCCCGGAATTCCAGCAGCCGCTGGGGCTGCGAGGGGGGCGGCGGGGGCTGCTCCGAGCCAGGCGGGGGCTCCTCAGCATTGGCCGGTGGCTGCATGAAGAGCTGATCTCTCGGGTAGTGGCGGCTGTCCTGGTCCAGCAGGTAGTGCCCGTAGACTGGGTGGCTGGCAAACGCCGCTGCCTCCTGGTGGTAGGGGAAGGGCTCTTCGAACTGCCCCTTGCCCTGGCGCAGCTGGTGCAGCCGGCTCAGCATCTGGGTCTGCATCTGGAAGGACATGGGCATCCCGCCCCACTGGTTGCCCAGCCGATTCATCAGCTCCAGGGAGTTGACAAAGTCATAGATGTGGGGGGGAGCAGCTGTCCCGGGCCCTGTGCCTGCTGTGCCAGCCTGCACCCCGTAGTCTGGGAGGCCTGGCGCCTGCAGATGGTGGGGCGGTGGGGCCTGCGAGTAGTCAGCCTCGCCCGTCAGGTGGGGCAGGGAGACTGACATGAGGGGCTGCAGAGGGTAGGCAGGGGGTGGCTCCGGCGGGCGAGCGAAGGCCGAGACACCCAGCGGGAGGTGGCCAAGGCCCGCAGGCAGCACCGGGAAGTGTGGATCCGCCGTCGCCGACCCCGCGGGCTCATCCTCTGCCTCCTCCTCCGAGATCTCCATGTCCTCTCCGGATGACTGCTGGGAGGCCTGGGGAAAGGGGTGTGGTTAGGACATGCTCCCACTGCTCCAGCAACAGGCCCTGTCCTCCCCCTCCCCAAACACTCCAACCCTTCCCCTCCCTTTCTAAGCCCCAAGTCCTGGCTCCCAGCCCCCTGCTGTAACCCACTAGATCCCCCTCCCCCCTACAACAGGGGAGGGAACCCAGGAGTACCGATTCCTAGACCCCCCCAAAGCCCACTCTCTACCACACTAGGCCCCACCCCTCCCAGACCCCAGAAGTGGCATCTCACCCTGTCCTGCCCATTGGCCTTGGGTGATTCTCCCCCAGCGTCGGAAGCTGGCACCACATCCTCAAAGCTGACGGGCAAGGGTGGGGGTGGAGTGCAGGGCCCATGTGGCTCTGCCCCCTTGGTCCCTGCCCTGCCCCCTTCCTCCTCCTCCTCTTCGGTGTCGGAATTGAGGAAGGAGAACTTGGACCTTTGCTCCTTCAACAGCATCTCAATGCGCGAGTCCAGGCTGCTGTGCTGGGCAAACGGGACGCTTTCGTTGGTGGTCTCCGGCGCCGGGGAGCCCAAACGAGCTGGCGAGGCCTGGGGGGCTGGCGACTGGGCCTGATCTTCAGCGCCAACCACTGTGGGGCTGGGCTCTTCCTTGCTCTCCTGAGCCAGGAATTCCGTGGGGGGCAGGGAGTTGGCAGCAAAGGTCTCGGCCGTGGGCAGCAGGCGGTAATCCTGATCACAGGGGTGTGGCTCTGGGGGCAGCGGGAAGGGCTCCGGGGGGGCTGGGAAGGGAGGGAAGACGGCACCAGGAGCTGCAAAGGGCTCCCCTTGCTGCCCGGGGCTGTGTCTTCCTTGCTCTCCTGAGCCAGGAATTCCGTGGGGGGCAGGGAGTTGGCAGCAAAGGTCTCGGCCGTGGGCAGCAGGCGGTAATCCTGATCACAGGGGTGTGGCTCTGGGGGCAGCGGGAAGGGCTCCGGGGGGGCTGGGAAGGGAGGGAAGACGGCACCAGGAGCTGCAAAGGGCTCCCCTTGCTGCCCGGGGCTGTGGCTGGTCTGGGA